GACTGTTAAATCCCTATTTTCAAGGAAGTCGTGGGTTAGTTAATAATTCTGACTTTTCTCTACCCCAAAAACGTCTTTTCCATGTTTCCTATGACTGATCGATAGGAAAACCTTGTAGGCAAGGCGATACCTCATATTGGGCGACATTTTACCATTTTCTCTCATTGGGTGTCCTCTAGATATCGTCCTAGGAGAGTCCCCTAATGAATATGAAACTACACCATGCATAAGCTAGTATTCGAGGTAACACACTATTGATGTTGCTGAAATGTATACCAGAAGCTCATATGTTACTTTATTGAGGAGATAAACAATTCAAAAGGACCAAGAAACTGATGTATATGAGGTAAAACATAAGAAATTTAGAAGTTCACAATTTACTTTTGAGCCTCATCAAAAACAATTTTATAAAATTTTCACTCATATCGGAAACTCTTGAGTTTTGCATGAACTTCGTCCCAGTGTTAATAATGACGTTTAAATTATTTAATGATTTTGGGAAATACAAAGGACATAAAGGTTGTTATAACTTGAATTCCCCTTAAAGATTCAACATGCCACTAAAACTCAAAATGAATACACACACACATACATACAAATGCACAAAAGCACATATGCACACACACACACACACACACACAAACACACACACACACACACACACACACACACACACACACACACACACACACACACACATATTCACACACGTACACACACACACACGCAGACACACATACACACAGACGCACACACACGTACCCACTTACCCACCCATATGCACACACACATACATGGACACACACATTCACGCGCGCGCACACACACACACACACACACACACACACACAAACACAAACGCATAAATGCACACACGCGCACACGCACACACACACGCACACACATACATTTTATTATTATATATTTTCTAACACTTAATGTAGGAAAAAAACCAAAGATTGGTTTAACTAATTTGCTAAGAAAACCAATTATTGGCCAAACAAGATGAGTAAGTAAGTTCCAATCTTTTTACAACATGGCAGATTCACAAAGCGAGCATGCCTACTCGCGATTAGAATTCGAGCTGGTTTAGTAATTTAAAAGGATAAGTTAGGTGAAACTTAAGGATAGAGGAACATAAGATCACATGACAAACTTGACACTTTGCAAGACAATATTGGGCAACGTTAACGCACCATCAAACACACTTGACAAAAACTTAGCATGTAAGTAAAACTAAATTTGTGCGGTGAGTTGTATAACTTGCCATTTGGAAATAAGCGACGTTAACACCTACATGGGAACACATGATAAAGACTTAGTGACAAAGAAACCTAATCTCACGAGGCGAGCCACTCACTTGCTTAATAATTTTTCCAAGATATACATTTTAATAAAGGGTCTTGGATCAATTACAAGATATCATTGTTCATAAAATGTCATAGAAAACTCAAGAAGACAAATGACATATTAGAGGCAGGATGAATGCTTCCAACTTAGAGAAATCAAACTTGAATGCTCTTTTTATTTTTCATTTCTTCTTGTAAAACTACATCAACCACGTGTTGCTACATTTTTCCCACATATGTTTGAGATTAAATTAGTATTTATGATTTTCTTGTAAATACTCATGATCTGTTAATTATATTATATTTTCGATATATTGATATTGCTAATTTCGTACTCAATGCTTTTCCAACTTTAAACTCTAAAACTGATTTTTTAATTTAAAAAATGGTAGAAATATATTTTCTACTCAAGTGGCCTAGAATAAAAATGTTTATAGTTACTAAAAATATGACATTTACAACCACTAAACCACCATCGAATTATAATGCTATTGAATGTATCAATTGAGCGAGAAATATGATATTAATAGATTCAATAAATATCACATTATTTGCCGAGAACTAAAATGTATAGCCGATCAAAATCATTAAATAAATACATACTTAAAAGATTTAAAATAGTATAACCAATCCAGAAACTACAAGAAACATTGCATTTTCCCTAGTGATTTTCACGTCACTAACATAAAAATCACTTCACTAATTAATATTTGCGACGTGGGTAAAACACGTCGGAAATGTAATGGTGAGAACTTTTTCTCACGTTGAAAACACGTCACAAAGTTGTGACATATAAACCACGTCGCAAATGACAAAAAAAGGAGAAAAAGTTCTCATGTGAAAACCAAGTCACTAATTAGTGACGTGAAAATCATGTGGGAACTTACCTTTACCAATTTGGCCAGTACACTTCCCTGACACAAGTTGAATTTATTTCCCATGTGACTCTTACGTCACTAATTTGTGGCCTTGTTTTCACGTGGGAAACCACACTGAATAAATATTTTTCCCATGTGACTCCCACGTCACTAGTTTGTGGCATTGTTTTCATGTGGGAAACCACACTGAATAAATATTTTTCCCATGTGATTCCCACGTCACTAATTAGTGACATGGGATGCACTTCACTATTAAATTTAATAATAATAAAAATAAATAATATTAATTGAAAACAACTAAAAATATTTTTTCAAAAAGTAATACATTTAAAAATAACACATTTTAAATATAATACATATTCTTTATGTTTTTAAAAAATATATTTTAATTTTTTCTATTTACAATATTGTTTACTAAAAATATTTTTAAAAATTCTATTTTTTCTAACATAATAAATATTCTGTTTTAAAAATTAAAAATACATAACATATTTAATTTGTTTCTAATATATTATTTTTGTTTCTTATAAATATTCTATTTTCTAATTTGTTTCTAATAATATATTATTTTTATTCTGTTTTTCTAATTTGTTTCTAATAACATATTATTTGTTTCTAACATAATAAATATTCTGTTTTTCTAATTAAAAATACATAACATATTATTTTTATTTTTTCTTTCAACAACAACAACATAATATATATATATATATATATATATATATATATATATATATATATATATATATATATATATATATATATATATATATATATATATATATATATATATATATATATATATATATATATATATATATATATATATATATATATATATATATATATATATATATATATATATATATATATATATATATATACATACACTTACATCTAACAAAAAAAATCTAAAATTTTCTAAAATAATATTTCATATATCAAATATAAACAAATTGTAATGCATAAATACCTCTCAAAAGCTTTCAATGGAACTCCTTAATCAATATTAGACCTGGAAAAAAATTAACAGTTAATAAAAAGAAAAACATAAAATAAATGGTAAGGTAAAACAGTCATAACACAACATACAAATGCTTCACCTTAAATTTGCAAAATTTTCGTTAGAGTTGGAGCTGTGAGGAAGAATGAAGCTCTGAAAATGTGAGGGAGGAAGAAGAAAGAAGCTGAAGAAATGAAGAAAAGAAGTGAAACGAGATGTGGGTGAAAATTCTGGAGTTTTAAATATATAATGACACTTGCAACGTGGGGAACACGTGGGAAGATACCCACGTGAACACCACGTCGAAACAAACAACAATTCCAAGAATTTGCGACGTGAATTTTGCTTCGGAAACTTGCGACGTGGCAATAGGGTCGAAACATTAAGGCATGTGGGTAATTTGTGACATGCTTCTCACGTGGGAAATAAAAGAACTTTTTTGAATTTACAGTTCCCTTGTGATTTACACGTCACAACTAAATTTCGTTGAAGATTTCAAAGTTACAAAATTTATTAATTAAATACTTTAGTGACATGAGAATCTCTTGGCAACACGTTTTTTCGTGTGTGATTACCACGTCACTAAATCACCAGAAAGAAACAACATTTTTCTATATTAAATTAACGAAGTCAAATCCTAATCTCACTTTTCTTAAATTTGATAAGATTTTCTTTACTTCTATCAACTTGAAGATAGAAAAATCTATATTTTGGGTTTGATTAAAACCTTTGGCTCTTTTGTAGTACACGAGTGAGGCCACATGAGTTTAGATACTTCTTAATTATGACATTAGTATATTATTATAAATTTAATACAATTAACGTATCAATAGCAAGCCTATGACTTAAGAGTGAGAGAGTCAACCAACTACCGCTTCTTACCCAAATTGGGTAGCGGGTCCACCACATAACGTAAACCCTTTTTTTCTACCTGTCGTCCTAGTATATAAATCCTAATGGAGAATGGACGAAACTTTTTCGCTCTCATTCAACTTCACACTGTCCTGGTCTTCGTCCTCTCCCTGCCAATCCCTTCCCATCTTCTTCTCTGGTCAATGCAGGTACTCCTCTCTCCTCATCGCGCATTTATATATCTCCGTGTTTTGCCGCCAAGTCTTGGCGGGATTTCTATTATTTTTCTTGAACCCTAGTTTTTTTGATTCCATTTTACTCTTCCGAGTTTTCTATACTATTTTTTGTTGCTGTTTCTTATCTTATTGATTATGATGACTTTGGATTTCGAAACCTATTATCCGCACGTTGTTTCAGTTGAATAGCATTACCGTTCTGCGTTTTCCACGGTTTGAAATTCTAACTCTTCGAACTTCAATGTTGTCGATGATTTTTTCACCAATGTGCGTTTTATTGGTTGATGTAATTCGATTTTTATACGGATGTTGTTTACTCATAATGACGCGATATTGTGGTTTATCCGGTTTTCCCGATTTTATTGTATATTCAAAGCAGAGCCGATATGTTTTTATGGTTTCCGAGCTTAGTGAAATTTAGTTTGAGTTAGGGTTATTGAAATTTGTTTTTTAAATGAAAATAATATGAGATAGGGTTGTTGAAAATTTCAAGGGTTTTGATAATGTGTAGTATTCAGTGTTTCTTTTTGAACTGTACATGCTTGGCCATCATCATCATACTTATCGATTGTGATTTGTGTGGTTATTATCTTATTTACTGTTTAATAGATTGTCTTCAGGATATCCCTTAAAGCATGAGTTGCTAAGAGAATATCCGCGGTGGTTCAAATAACGTTGAATTATGGCGCCAAATACTAGATTTGATTCCAGTGCAGCTAGCCAAGAGGAATTGGCTTTCAGGGGGGCTTTCTCAAATGGACAGCAGAGAAATTTGAGAAATGTTGATTCGGATAAGTCTGCAAGCTTTCGTGAAGGTAATGACAGTCGGATGATTATTTCTGATACTATTATGTTGCAGGGAAGTTCTACATCTTCACGAGATTCGGATCCAATAACCACAGGAGGTCCAAAGTATACTAGTTTAAATGTCTTAAAACGGGTTCTGGGGATATCTCCTGTAAACACCCTTGAAGATTTTGCTTTTCGAACTGGTAATCCTAAGCCTCGCATTCCAGCGGATCCGGAGGAACGGAAACGATTCAAAGCAAGTGTACAGGAGGCTTCTGCCAGGGCTAGGTAATTTAAGGAACTTTATGCAATGCCATTAATTCTGTCATCAAATCATACCGCTTTTACCCTACTTCTCATTTAATGTAATTACTAATTAATTGGCGCGTAATTGAGAGCTTACATTTTCAGCATATGTAATGTAATTGAATGACTACCATTTTAGTCAAACTTTTCTCAGTTTTTGGAATAAAGGCGACGCCTGAGTTGTCCAGAATTTTCTCATTTATTGTCAGTTTGTCACTTGTGCAATGATTTTGTTATAAAGGTTTTGCTCTTTTATTTTTTTCTCAGTAATGGATCAAAGAGGTTGGATGAATCTGTACACAAATTGAACAAATATTGGGAGGCCGTAAACTCAAAGAAGCAATTTCAGAACGAGAGGTTACTAAGTGAAAGGACGAGTGGGTCTCATTTATCTAACATGGGAACTCAGACACATCAGAGCACTACAGAGCTTGCAAATCAAAAACCAGGGGATATACCTAAGAAAGTCATTCTGAACACGCACATTGGTACATCAGCCGTTGAGATACAGGTTAGTAGCTACCTAGCATTTTAAAATTATTTTTGCATTTCCTTTATTAAAGCTGTGTGTTTATGCCATGTTAATTGCTAGTTATTTCTTTTTCATTTTTTCATTTATTTATTTATTTTTTAATTTGTAACAATGAGGATAGAATTCCAATAGTATTGAACAATAAATAAAATTATAGTGCTTTGAAATAACTTGGATAAGGGAGAGCATGATGACCCATCCTCTATTGAATCTGGTGCAACTATATTCGATTTCTGTTACATGTGCTTCTCTGAAGATTTAGAAGATAAAGTCCCACACTAAATGATCTGAATGGGATATTGAAAGATTTCATGTTGGGCCAAGTTGGATATCCATCATATATTGTTATTTTTAATCTTACTTTCAGTGCCATTATATTTGCAAAGCCTCTGGAGGAACTATTATTTTTGGATTACCAATGTAACTCATTGAACCACAACACTTATGTAGAGTCATTGATGACTAATTATTGATTTGATATTACTCTCTTAAATACTGAACATGCTACATTCCTTTGTTTTATGAGAAGCAATGTATTTTTTCGACTTTGCTAATACTTTATTTTTTAAAATATCTAATCTATATTTACTTTATATCTTTTGGTGATAAATACTAGGCTGAAGGGCTAAACAATAGGTTTGGCAGACAGTCTTTGACAATTGGAAAGGATAAAGACGACGTCAAGGATGTTGGCAAGGTTTGTGATGGTGTTCAAGAGAAGATTCAAAGGCTACCTGTAAGTGGAGAAACAAGGGATAGAAAAATGAAAAGAAAACATTCCATGGGTACCGTCTCGGCTGGATCCACTGACGGGGAAGGAGAGCCGAAAAGAGTTATGTATCTAAAGCAAGCTAGTGAGTCTGGTCTGCATTCTTGTGATGCCATAGGTTTGAGGTAAACACAAGTTTATGAGTTGCTTTGATTTCTGATTTTGTCAATAAATGGCCATAAGTCATAAGGTTTGAGAAGTGAACTGACAGCCATAAAAATGAATTGCAATTTGGGAAACATGTTGGTGCGTAAAAAATCAATTTATACTTAATTTAGGAATGTTGTGTTTGTGCATCTTTAGGTTCCTTCATAATGAATAACCTTATTGTATAGTGGTAAGAATTCATGTGGTGAAAAGATTGTTGGCTGACACGAAGTTCTATTTCAGTTACTGCTGTGATGTGATTATGTGTACATTAGCTAACATCATATTTAGTTTGTTACCAATCAATCTGTCACTTAAACTACTGGACTGAGTATTCGTGATGCATTTTTTGGACAAAATTTAGATGCATTTCTCTAAAGTGCTTTTTGCGTTGTTCTTAACTTAAAATACACTTTTTGTCGTTATAACAAATTTTGAAAAAATTATGTATTTGAAGAAATTATAGGCAGTTATATTTGAAAATATTATAAATTAATTATTTCAAGTTAAAACAACATAGAGCACACATAAGAAATGCACACAAGATTTGTCCTTTTTTAGTCTAGGGCTATATCTGAAATGATATCTGTGAAGAGTCCCCTTGGAATGAGATATGTCCTAAATATATGTTTATAAGAGGGGCAAGACAATTCTCACCTTACAAGCATGTTTTGTAAGAACGAGTCCCCTGAAAGTTTAGTGTTTAACTGTGTATCTACCTTGTGATGATAGTAACAATTCTATAGCTTCCACTCGCTTATGATTTACTAGTGAGAGGTGATGATAAGTGATGCTATTATGATTGGGTTGTATTTATGAAGCATCTATGAAGTGCCTAAAAAGCTTTATTTTCTTTTATAAAACCCTATTAGTATAATTTTATGAGTAATCTTATTCTCTCTTTTTTAGATTTGATGATCATGGCAAAAATTATACCGGTGGTATTTATCCACATACAAAAGGCAAAGCTTCAAGGGCACCTCAAACTGGTAACTTGATAGTTGGAAACTCATCTTCTGAAACACTTGACGCCCGGGAGCAACCTTTAAATGTGAACCAGCCTCATTCATTGATTGGGGCAATCAATCATAAGCGTCCTTTTCCTGTAGAATCGTCTATGTCCCATTTAGTCCAATGGGCTGGGCAGAGGCCTCAAAAGAGTTCTCGCACTCGAAGAGCAAATGGGGTATCGCCGCCGGTCTTCAATTGTGATGAAATGCCTATGCCATTTGAAGGCTGTTCCCCTTCTAGCAGTAATATAATGACTTCTACTACAAATAGTGGACCACTTACATCCAAGGGTGCTATCAACAACATACAATGCACTAGGAATAAAAAGGATGACAATTCATTCCAGACCAGAATATATGAAAGAGTAGAATCTGGCACCGGGGCAGATGGTGAAAGTAAATTAACGGAGAAAGTATTGGACAGAAACAAAAGTGATGGAAGAGCCATAAATGATTCCTGTAATATAGGTTCCTACATGGCAATGACAAAAAAGGAAATAAAGCTGAGCAAAGAAGAGACTGGAGATCGTCTGCGTAGGCAGTGTAGTGGCAGCAATGGCTTTTCAGTTTTGAAGAATGGCATCTCATCAACTGAAGAGAAGTCTGAGATTTTAACCTTGACAAAGCGAACTCAAAATACGAAGCCTTCTTCTCTAAAGAATGCAAGGTATAGTTCCTCCCACTCATTGCTCTCTTTTTCCTCCTGATAATGGCTAAGTAGAGATTTCTTCCACTAGACTAAGTTTATGTTTTTCCAGTAGATCAAGGCGACCTCGTATGAAGAAGTCACACAATAGTAAAGCTATTGCTCATCCTGGGCATCCGTCAACTAGTAGTTTCCCAGATATTGCGGGTATGTCTATCCATTTGAGTAACTACTCATTGCATTAAAAAGTAGAATTATTTATCATATTATACTTATTTAATAAGATACTCTATAGTAAGAAGATGATATAAGATGTTTTCTCATATTCAAACAATAATATGCTACAAACCATCTGAAATGGCAGGTAGGTCAGGTGATGACTGTGAGGAACTATTATTAGCGGCCAACTTTGCTAGCAATGCCAGCTGTATGTCACTAAACCCTGCTATTTTTGAGTTGGTTTGCGTGTGTTTATATGTATGCAGAAACTTTCTATACATATTGGTCCTTGGCAGATACTGGCTGTTCTAGTTCATTCTGGAAGAAAATGGAACCTAATTTTGCTCCTGTCAACTTGGAAGTCATAGACCACTTGAAGCAGCAGGTGTGTGTTATGACAATTTGTGTTTGTAAAATTTAAGTGACTCTTAATTGAAGCGCTGCTTCCCTCCTTTTTGTTACTCTTTGCACCAGGCTAAAACAATAGAGGATGATCAAAGTTATTTGTCTCAAATGGTTTGCCTTCAAAGTGATGCCCTGTTAATGCCTAAAGCTTAAATCTTATAGTTGCAATAATTTTCAAATTTGACACCTTTTTACGAGTAATGGATATTCTACTTCAAATAAGTGAAATAACGATTTTAGTTAGCTTATTTCTTTATTTGTGGTGCATGTGTGTTACGAATACCATGAGGAAGGATCAAGTTACTCAAGGAATAACTTTGAGTAGAAGACTCCACAAAATTATTTTACCAATCCAACCGTCAAATTAACTGTTCTTGTTTGAGTAGATCAACTCCACAAGTTTTCATTTATTTTTATAATTATTTTATACTTCAAGTGAATTCAAATGAATGTATAAAAGCTTTTCTAAAATACCAGTAAATGTTGACTTCCAGATTATATAGCTACAAATTTTGATTTATATGAAACTTCGTTGCGTGATAACTATTATGATAATAATCAACAATTAGATTAGCGAAATTTAATTTTGTAAGGATTTATTAAGTGGATTAATTCTACTCAAAGTTAATGTATTCATATTACTTTGATTTGATCTTTTAAATAGTATTAATGTTTATTTTAATTTTAAATATTTTCATATTTTACTATACTTTAAATCTTTTTTTTTTTGTATGAGCAAAAAGTAAATTAGAGATTTTTTTAGTTCCGTTCTGGTTTCTAACGCTATCTTTACCTCATTGTAATAGAATTTGAACTAGAGGAACATGTTAATATGTTATGATAAGAGGTAGGGCTAATTACTTTATCATATGTACCAACTCATTAAATAATAGACCAAGGTTTAGATTCAGACGCTAGTGCTTCAACCTTTTGTATAAGTAAAGCCTAGTGTGTTCGTCAACAAAGCTGATTTAATATGAATAGTCACAAGAATATAAAACTGGGGCAGAGCTCCCAAATTGCTATAAGACTGTAGCTTCCAGAGTAAATTTTTTAATCAGTTATCGGTGTTTTTCTAACACATTTCTTTCATCTAAATTCTCAGGATGGGGTTGTGCATACGGATAACCTTTTTTCGCTATATCCACTTGAAGGAGAAAGAGGGAGAAACATTTTAAATCAATCTGATTCAAAAGAGCTATCTTCAATGGTTGACATGGTTGATCAACCTCACGATGGCAGCTTTCTGTCCAGTCAAATGGATTTAGAATGCAAACTCCCACCATTGTACCAAAGAGTATTGACAGCTTTGATCATTGACGATCAAACTGAAGAAACTGTTGGAGATGAAAACACATCTTTTCTGCATGAAAGAGATGACCCTTCTGTTGGATTCTACACTGACACAGTTTCCAGTAATGGGAATGCTGCCTTTACATGTGACGGAATGTCTATGGAGGATAAACTCTTAATGGAGCTACAGATTGTCGGCATATACCCAGAACCAGTGGTAAACTTCTAATTTGTAGATATGTGAAAAGTCTGTAATTGAATATGATTTTTCGGGTTCATTTTTTCTATCAATGCTTCTGTTACTAACTCTTCTCCTTATGGCTGTCTTGTAAAAGCCCGAGCTTTCTGATGGAGGTTGTGAAGCTATTGACCAAGAAATTACTCAATTGCAGAAGGGAAGCTGTCAGCAGGTTTTGACTCTTATCTGAAGTAAACTGTCCGTATTGTTTTAAGTTATTCTTGGTTTTATTATATACGTAACTGTCTGTATTTGATGAATTTTGTAGCTCATGAAACAGAAAGAAGGATGTATGAAACTTATTCAAGCAGTAGAAGATGGCAGGGAATTGGAACAGCGGTAAAATATGATAATATATTGTTTATCTTGTTCGTTAGTTGTTTTTTCTTTTTTATGTTGACAAGTCCATATGCTGACCCTCATTAATAGCTAATATGTATTATGTTAATATGCAGAGCCCTTGAGCAAGTTGCTATGGATAAACTTGTTGAGTTGGCTTATAAGAAGAAGCTGGTAATATGCCTGTTTATTTTTTGTGCTTTTTCCCTGTTGTTTGCCAAGTTAGTTTTAAAATGCAGACGTGGCAACTGAATTGAGCTATTTGACATATTAGCTGAAACATGTTATTTGTTTGATTGAAAGGTGGTGTATTTGTTGCAGTTCAAAATATTTTTTAACGATTAAACCGTCAAATTAGTTCCTGATTCTGTAGAACGCTCTGAAATAAGTCCCCGGGATTATGAATATTTCAAAAAGGTCCACGTCTCTATCAAATTTTACTCATTAATTTTTTGATACTAATACTATTGATAATAAACCCTTAGATATAGGGACCAACTTGATAGTAAGTGGTATAATCTAAAGACTTTATTGATAGTAAGTGGTTATATACCAACTTGACATGTTAATAAAGTCATGGATCTTTTTAAAATATTCAATGCCATGGACCAATTTGAGGGTGTTCTACAGTTCTCAAACTTATATTTGCTCTTTCTCTCTTTTTCAACTCCCCTTTGGATGTGTTACAAAATGTATGGGTTCTGTTCTAGACCAATCTTTTCAGAATTATGCAGTGACAGCTTCGGTCATGAAATAGTTAAGTTAAACTGATTTGCATTTGAAAAACTTAATAATATTATAGGCCACTCGGGGAACTATTGCAGCAAAGTATGGAATTTCTAAGGCCTCAAGGCCAGTTGCTTTGGCTTTCATGAAGAGGACTCTTGCTAGATGCCGGGCATTTGAGGAAACCGGGAAAAGTTGCTTTCTGGATCCCACGTTAAAAAATGTCCTATTTGCAACTCCAGCCCTTGACAACTATACTGTTTCAACTGTTGCTGATGACCAACCACTTGCTCAAAACTCTCGGCAAGATTTAGCACCACCAGGTTTTCTGTTTTCATCATGTTTTACTTGTTTTTGATGAATTTCCTTGGATACTCAAATATCGTGAGTGAGATGTCATGTTTATCAATCTTATTAATTCTCTTCCTAAAGCTTGTGAATTTTGGTTCATCTTTATATATATCTTTTCCTGCCTCCTAAAATATTATTTGATTAGGGGGATAGATCCTTTTATTTCTTAGTTGGTAATTTATTGGGCCTTGCCTCTTGCAGGTTCATTTCCTTCCAGGGAGCAAAATGTCTTGGGAAATTCAAACAATCCATCCAACCTGGATTTTGCCAGGACTGGACCAATACTGAATGGAGGGAAGAAAGGTAAAGTGCTACCTGATGATGTTGGTGCTAGCGCTTATTTGGGAGGGAAGAAAGGAGAAGTGCCACTTGATGATGTTGTTGCTAGTGATTCTTTGGGAGGGAAGAAAGGAAAAGTGCTACTTGACGATGCTGGTGCTAGTGCTTTGGGAGGGGAGAAAGAAAAAGCGCTACTTGATGAAGTTGGTGCTAGTGCCTCTCTGGGAGGGAAGAAAGGAGAAGTGCTACTTTACGGTGTTGGTGCTTCTTTGGGAGGGAAGAAAGAAGTGCCACTTGATGGTGTTGGTGCTAGTGCTTCTTTGGGAGGAAAAAATGGAGAAGTGCTACTTGACGGTGTTGGAGCTAGTGCTTCTTTGGGAGGGAAAAATGGAGAAGTGCTACTTGACGGTGTTAGGGCTAGTGCTTCTTCGGGTGGGAAGCGAGGAGAAGTGCTTGATGTTGGTGCTAGTGCTTCTTTGGGAGGGAAGAAAGGAGAAGTGCTACTTGACGGTGGTGGTGCTAGTGCTTCTTTGGGAGGCAAAAAAGGAGAAGTGCTACGTGACGGTGTTAGGGCTAGTGCTTCTTCGGGAGGGAAGAAAGGAGAAGTGCTACTTGACAGTGGTGGTGCTAGTGCTTCTTTGGGAGGTAAGAAAGGAGAAGTGCCACTTGTCGATGTTGGTGTTGATGCCAGTGCTTCTTTGGGAGGGAAGAAAGGAGAAGTGCTACTTGAGGTTGTTGGTGCTAGTGCAACTCTTGGCAATTCGTTCATGGGTGGAACAATGAGAAAGAGGAGTAAAAGAGGGAAGAACCAGGACAGTTCTATAAGAAATTATGTTAAAACAGGCGGTCGTTCTTCTGCAAGTAACACGAGGAGTGAGCGGAAAACAAAAGCGAAGGCCAAACTGAAGACAGACCGACTCTCTACTTCTGCAAAAGGATCTCTTGGCAAGTTGGTGGAAAATACTAACTCTAAGCATCAATTGGCTTGTGCCTCTGATCGACTGGTTTCCAGTGGTAACGATAATGTTGGCTCTGTATCTCATGGTTATAGTACTAACAATTTTGCCATTGAAACCGAGGATCCCTTGGATTTAACAAACATGCTTGAACTAGACTCCATAGAACTTAGTGCAGATAAAGACCTGGATTCTTGGCTTAACATTGGTGATAATGCCTTAGAAGATAATGATGATGCGCCGGGCCTAGACATACCAATGGACGATCTGTTCACGGTTCTTTGAAGGCGGATGCAGGATATTATGTATTCCTATGCATTGTTTGGTGTTTATGAACCGCACTGTGTCGTTTGAACTCTGCTCATACAATTCATGACTCCAGTTGGCACTCGTAGTTATTCTCATTATTATTTTTGTATATATTTGCTAGTCAGTATCTACAATACCAAATATAAAAGAAGCCCAAAATAGGGTTTAAGAAATACAAAAAAAGGTAGTTCGCAATTGTTCATATGAAAATAGAGCTCCATTGGTTGTAACTATTACATACATTACAAATAATTTATAATTTTGTTGTTATTTTCTCTCATGGCTTGTAAATTATATCATACTAATTACAACATAAGGAAGCCAATTTGTGGTATCCACTGTTCTGAGAACTTGCGAGACTAATATTACGAAGAAATGATATTGGATATTGGAAATCATAAAGCTATCGTAGAAAGCCAACCATATGTTCTATCTAAGAACTTGTGAGACTAATCTTACGACGAAATGATAAAGGGTCATGTTAAAACTGAAAACAAAAGTTATGTTGTTTTCTAAGTCTCTTAAATTGAACTTTTCTGGTAGGAGTATTTAAACCTTTACAAAAGGGTGTTCGCGAGATGGCTTGTTTCGGTTGGGAGGGATTCGAATTTCTAAACAGATCCATAGTATACGGTTTAATTTAGATTGGATTTTTACATTTTTGCAATAAAGCATAAATTGAATCGAATAGAGTAATTTTCAGTTGGATTGATTGAACACGAAATAAATGTATAAAAATATTTAAAAAATATATTTATTTTACATTAATTAATTTTTTATAATAGTATAAAATTTTGGATTTTTTAATTTTTTCATAGTGAATGTTACAAATGGATGTTTTATTATTTTTATTATTAAAGGTCAATATCTTATATTAATTTTCGTGATAATTATGATATAAATTATACAATTAACTTTAAGTTTCATTTGACTAGTCAATAGAAGGTCAATAGAGCATGCAAGAATCTTAAGCTCTAGTTTTCAAACACTCAAGGCAAGGTAGTTCAAGACAAACACAAATAACTTGTCTATTGCATTTAAATTTATATATATATATATATATATATATATATATATATATATATATATATATATATATATATATATATATATATATATATATATATATATATATATATATATATATATATATATATATATATATATATATATATATATATATATATATATATATATATATATATATATATATATATATATATATATATATATATATATATATATATATATATATATATATATATATATATATATATATATATATATATATATATATATGACGTTTTATTATTGAAGGTCAATAGAATTTTTAAAATATGTTGCTCGAACCAATTAACGTGGAGTTTCATTGATTTGGTTCAATTTTTGTCCGAATTAAAAAAAATAAATCCAAACACCATGATTTGATTTTGATTCTTATTTATTCAAATTTACTCGAATCAATAAACACTCCTACATGTACACATAGTCTAAATGATCCATTCCACGCCGAACACAATTTAAATGAACTAACAAAGGTTCAAATTCACTCCCCCCGCATCATATCCGCCACCACTTTTTTCTCTCTTCATTTTCATTTATGAAAAAGAGCAAAAACAAAGAATTAGAGAGTTCACATTTAAAAAATCGGTAATATTATTTTTCAAGTAATCTCAGAGTTTTTATTTTTTGCATTGAACCTTATCACATCTCTATTCCTTACATTATACGTATTTAATGTTCTACTTCATTGCATCGATAAGTTATATACACACACACACACACACACACACACACACACACACACACACACACACACACACACACACACACACACACACATATATATATATATATATATATATATATATATATATATATATATATATATATATATATATATATATATATATATATATATATATATATATATATATATATATATATATATATATATATATATATATATATATATATATATATATATATATATATATATATATATATATATATATATATATATATATATATGATACTTTAGATTTAAATGCAATAGACAAATTATTTGTGTTTGTCTTGAACTACCTTGTCGTGAGTGTTTGAAAACTAGAGCTTAAGATTCTCGCATGCTCTATTTTCTGGTTCAATACATTTCGAATTTTGAAATTCAAACCCTTAGTTTGGAGATTGGAATCCAAAGTAACATGTTATCTATTTTTTTAAATTTGATTTGGTTATATTTTTGTTTTTGTATTCTGTTATGACATATCTCTCTTCTTGTTTGATTGTAGGAAAAATGTGTGACAAATAAGAAAGATTGAGACATGATAAAGTGACCCAACATACTTTTGTTCGCAAGGAGAAAGTTAAATCCTTATGACCTGCAATTAGAGATACTTCTTTTACTAGAGAGAGGCCGCCTTCACGGGTTCACGTGTCTCTAACATCGTCTTCTCGAATTCATGTGTCCACTGATTCCCTAGATGCCCTAGATGTAACACCCTAATTTCCATGACACTTTACATGTAAAATATACGGAAAAGTAATAATAATAATACACTCAAGGTAGTCATAAACTCAACATAAAAGCATCATCTCTCATCATTTAAAAATAGTAGCGGAAATCTAATCATTAATATTTGACATGCTTCAAAAAGTCATAAAAAATAACTTCAATTATCCATAATGTTTTAAACTCAAATAATTATTAAAATAAACATGAAAAACACAACCTAATTCCTAAGGCTACAATATTCAAAGCGACACTTGGAATCTAAAACAACAATGGAAAAACGTAAAAAGAAGGCCACTAATGCCCTCCTCCAATGCAACCAACCGTTAAGACTTCTCAGTTCCTACCTGAGTATCATCATCACAAGGATCAAGACCACACAAAAACCAAATAAGGGGTGAGAATACATCCATATAAGTTAATGGCGCATAAATATTGAAGATAGTAAAATCAAACATGAATATTCACTGATAATATTTATCCACAACAATATCATACACAGTTAAATATCACTTAACAATCATAAATATTCACATATAAAAGAATAAATGCAAATGTATCCGTCACCTCTACTTCAATATGCATGTGGTACCAAAGTTTTAGAAGTCAGAATATATTACTGAACTGTCCACTTGTCACTAGACCGAAGTCTTACCTATCTCTACTATACATGATGTATGAATGCAAAAGAAAACATACAATATACATCTCTACCTCCATAATCACTACACGTCACTGGTTCCTCTTGAACCAAAAACTCAGCATAATAGTCGCCAATGTAAGGCCACAACAAATGGTTGCACCGAACCAAATCAATATCATCATAACACAAAATAATCATTATAATCATACAATTTCTCAATAATACTCATCATTATAACATTCATATAACCACTCGGAGTATCACAACATCACAACTCAACACATAACAACCATCAATTCATGATTATATAATTATTCAATAATCATGTCATAATACTTATCACAAGTAAACATGCTTTTTATATTTTCATGTACATGTTTTAACCTCTAAATGAGTATTATGAGGCAGCATTATACATCATTTGCCCAACGCTTTGAACCGCACTTCAAACAGACTTATGAAGCTCAAGTTACACAAAAAATGACGAGCTTAGTACGAAAACCAAAGAGCTATTACGACCACCCGTGTTAGCTAACACGACCCGTAACACCCCCAGGAATTTTTTTTGGCACGCCTCTAGTATAAAAACCATAGGGCTGTTACAGCCGCCCGTAGCAGTGACTAGAAATCCCATATTTTATTTTGTGATATTGTGCAATCTTTCTTATTATTCCAGCCTTGTATCAGACCCAAACCTCAATTTTATACATCTAACAACCCCAAAACATATAAAACATAAAGATACATGAAAAATATGAAATTCCATCACTTTCCAACATCCAAACAACAATATCTCATCAATTGACCATGCTCTTCATCAACACATACATCAACAATATTAACATCATCATCATTAACTCTCATAGAAAATTATCATACAATTTCATATACCTCACATAATCGAAATTAAAAACACATCTATCGATTTATGGAGCTTTTGTACAAACCTCACATAATCCATAAAACCCTCATCAATGAAGTACATGGGAGAAAGGGAAGAAGATAAGGGGTAAGAACCCCCTATATTATACAAGAATAAGCACCATTATCATGAAAAGTCCCCCCTTCTTACCTCGATTATGTGATAAAGCTTCAACCTTGATAATATGTGAGTGCATTCTTCATCTAGCCATGTTTTGAATGATGTTAAAACTAGTAGAGTGTCTTAGAGTATTTGTATATTGGGCGGTATCAACCAAAGTTTAGAGTGCATTGATCATTTTAGCCTTTGGATGCATACAAATGGTTTTGAAAATGATTGGAAATGTCTAGGCATGCTTCATACATCAAAAACTAAGTTTTATGTGTGAACATTATTGTATAGGCCGACACATACGGTTTTAGGCCGACACATAGAATTTCAAGCTGACCCATAAAAGCTTTTGCTTCAGTACAGGTCGGCACATAGCTCTTACAGGCCGACCTCCATGATCAATATTAAAGCATGTAGATCTTGTCCACAGGTCGCCTCACTCAAGCCGACCTAAACACCTCGATAGACTGACCTATTGCTTTCATAGGCCAACCCATAGCTTTCAAAAACTTAAATTTTATTTTGCATCTTATTTTTTCTTGCATCCTCTTTGCCTATTTTCACACACACACACATACACACACACACACACGCGCACACACACACACACACACACACACACACACACACACATATACTGATACATGCACCTTTTTCTAGTAAGGTACTAGTGTAAAACCTAAACGAAACCCGTTTACAAAACATTCCCATCACCTTCAACCTTTCTTCTATGTATACACACAATTGAACTACACATAATCATTTTTCGATTGGGTGACCATCTAGAT